AGGCGAATAATTTTCGCAGCTGGTCGTCGGATGACGCCCCGTGTTGTGGCGGTCGAAGGTAGAAAACCGCTCCAAGCGGGGTATGGATATGGACCTGACTAGCAACTCTGGCTTTGGATGTCAGCCGATGGGTACACCAGCCATCAGTCGTTTCGACTCGGATGAAAATGGCAGCCCCATACGCGTCCTGGTACTGCAATTTGGCTGCAGGATGGAAGAGAGTTTTCGCCGTGCTGGCATCTTCCAGCTCAAGGAAGTCTGCACTGACCAAATGTTCCCTCGGAATCGCTTGTAGGAGTCTCCTTTCGTTGGAGGTCCACTTGCGCAGTGGAAAACCGGCACTCTCGAGAGCCAGCCGAAGCTCTTTAATGGCTAAAACTGCCGACTGCCGAGTGTGAGCCCCTGCGAGCACATCGTCCACGTACATAAAATTCGAAATGATGTCGCTGGCCAAAGGATATTGGCCTCGGATGTCCTGAGCCAACTGCTGAAGCACTCTGATGGCCAGGAAGGGCGCACAATTTACGCCGAAGGTGACTGTGTCGAGTTCATTGTCACAGAGCTCACCGTATTTGTTGCGGAATAAGATTCTCTGAAAGCGCGTGTGATCAGGATTGACCCGGATTTGCCGATACATCTTTGTGATGTCCGCATTAAAAACATACTTAAAGAAACGCCATTTTAGAATCTGAATAGTCAGATCGGACTGTAGTACAGGCCCCTCATGAAGGATATCATTGAGGCTGTTCCCGTTTGATGAGGGATTGGAAGCGTTGGACACGACGCGAACCTTCGTCGTGGTGCTATCTGGTTTGAAGACAGCGTGATGAGGCAGATAAAAACTGCTAGAGTCGTCAGGGGAGACTTGGTGCATATGACCTAAGTCTAAGTACTCTCGAATGACTGAGTCGTACTGCACCTTCTATGGAAGATCTTTACTTAATCGCATTTCGTTTCGGAGGTACTGAGCTAGTGCGATGGGTCTGGAATGTCCCAGCTTAATATTGTCCGGCTCTTTAAAGGGCAACGAAACAACATATCTTCCATCCTCACTTCTTTTGGTGGATCGGATAAAGTTCTCCTCGCAAACCGAGGTGGATTCCTTTACTAACTTCACTGGAACATCCTCCACCTCCCCAAATTTGGTGAGGATGCTGCCTGGTTTGGACTCGGTCACTGCTAATCGGGCTGAAAAAGAACAGATTCTGCTTATGGGACTCGTTGCAATAGGACCGCAAAGAGTCCACCCGAATATGGTCTCTTGACCCCTTGGTCCACAAATATTGGAATGGGAGCTGTGAGAATGATTGATGGCAGGATATCGGAACCAATAAGCACGTCAATCGGCGAGCTCCGGTAGAAATCTGGATCTGCTAGTTGCAGAGGTGGAAGATCCTTTAATGAATCCTCTGGTATAGTGTAGGATGGGAGATTCCCGGCTAACTGTGGTAGCACATACGCACAGGTTTCAATTTGGATATGGGGCTTGACGGGAGAACCTAGTCTGAATTGACAACGCTTACGGGGCTGAGCTGCAACGGAAAGGTTGACCCCTGAAACTTGCGCTTGGATGGACTCATAAGGCAACTTAATCAGGTTGAACAACCGTTCTGAGATAAAGGTTGCCTTGGAACCTGAGTCAATGAGAGCCCGTGCTGAGTACTTGATGCCCAAATGGCAAACTTCTATTATTGCCGTACTCAGGAGGAACCCTTGCGTGTTAACGGCAAGAAACGTTTGCACATTCGCTTGACCCGTCGATGGAGTGGACTGTATATGTTGCTGGATTGCTGTGGATGGATGGGACTGTTGGTCAGGCATAACCACTGAATGGACTGGAGGAGGGCCGCTTCGATGCAGGAGAGTATTGTGACGTCCACTGCAGGTGTAGCAATTATGCGTGCTGTTGCAGTCCCGGAGCAGATGCGTTCTTGCGAAGCAGTTCAAGCACAACTTCTGCTGTTTCACATGTCTCTCTCGATCTGCGACTGACATTCGCAAGAATAGAGGACATACACGGAGTGGATGGTTCTCTTGTGCACAGAGTTTACAGGATTGCGGGCTTACCGTAACTCTGTTTTCGAAGGTTTGGATCGACCGCGAGCTATTGTCAGCCCTCAGTGCCCTGGATTGAACGCTCGCGTTTGGCTTGAACTCCTCAATCGCCTCAAGCGTTCGATGACGATCTTTTAAGAAGGCCTGGAATTCAGCCCAGAGTGGAACCTCTGACTTACTTAGCAGGGACTGTTCCCAAAGAGCCAAAGTTAGTTTTGGCAACTTGGACGAGCACAGGAAAACAAGCAGGCAATCCCAATTCGTGGTCTCGACTCTTGCTAATTGCAGGGCCGTTAAACAACCTTGGATTGTGCTCTCTAAATGCTTCAAGGATTTTCCGCATTCCTGGGCAACAGAAGGCAAATTAAACAAGATCTTTAATTGGCTATTGACCAGCAGCCTCTTGTTCTCGAACCGATTCTGCAAGTTTCTCCACGCTGACTCAAAACCATCATTGGTCAACGGAGATAAGGCCACAATGGATTTGGCCTCACCGCTCGTCTTTGCATTAAGATGGAACAGTTTTTCGACTTCTGAAAGCCGAGGATTGCGTATATAGATGGCGGAGAAAAGGTCCCGAAATGTGGGCCATTGAACATAGTCACCATTGAAAACTTCGCACTCGACTGGAGGTAAGTGACATCCGCCCTGAGACGGCGTCAGATTGGAGGACTGAACAGACTGTTGTGCGCGTGAATCTGCAATGATCTCATTGAGGCTTGCTGCGCACCGCTCGTAAACGGTATAACAGTCGTCATACTTGGATTGCATGGCTGTTATTTTGTCTTTGCAGGTTTGACTGGCCACAACTTCGGAGCACGTCTCATATTCCTTTTCCACCTTGTCCCAGAGGGCCCTGATCTGCTCGAGTCGAACCCTACTCGTGTGGATGGACGGATTTGTGTCCTCATTGGTATTGATTCTGGCTTCAAACTGACTCACCCTATCGGTTATGGTGAAGTGAAGTGGGGAGATACGACTGACCTTGCGGCTTTTGTGGATGGAACAGACCGTGGAACTTCAAGCGACGTGCTCGTAGATCTTAGTGGAGTTGCGGTTGTCAATGGGCCTTTGCTGCGAGAGGGATTTTCGCTTTTGGAAGGCACAGTAGATTCACTCTTTTCCCTGACTCTGTGAGACTCTTTTTCCTTAGAACGGCCAAAAAGGATTTTGGTTCCTCACCGTCACCAATTGGCATATGAAGCTCTCGTAGGAGCCGGAAAATGTAAGTGAGTGAGGTAGTCTATCGACTTTGACGTGGTTCGGAGAGGGGCCGCTGGATAAGCGCAAAAAAACCGAGTTAATCGAAAAAATTTTATCGATTTCAATTAGTACGGGGACGCTGGATGAAGCGTTCAAAATTGATGGTTATCGATTTTAAATCAATACAGGGACGCTGGATAAAGCGTTCAAAATGGTTATCGATTTGAAGGATAAGGGGGCGCTGGATGGCGCGTTGACACGGATGTACTCGGTTCGAAAGATATGGGGGGCGCTGGATAACGCGTAGAACAAATTAATCGAAAAAATGCTATCGCTACTCAATTAATACGGGGACGCTGGATGACGCGTTGGCACGGATGTACCCGGTTTAAAGATATGGGGGCGCTGGATAACGCGTAGAACAAATTAATCGAAAAAAATGCTATCGATTTCCAATTAATACAGGGACGCTGGATAACGCGTTGACACGAATGCACTCGGTTCAAAAGATATGGGGGCGCTGGATAACGCGTTGGCACGGATGTACCCGGTTTAAAGATATGGGGGCGCTGGATAACGCGTAGAACAAATTAATCGAAAAAGATGTTATCGCTACTCAATTAATACGGGGACGCTGGATGACGCGTTGGCACGGATGAACTCGGTTCAAAAGATATGGGGGCGCTGGATGACGCGTTGGCACGGATGTACCCGGTTTAAAGATATGGGGGCGCTGGGTAACGCGTAGAACAAATTAATCGAAAAAATGCTATCGATTTCCAATTAATACAGGTACGCTGGATAACGCGTTGACACGAATGTACTCGGTTCAAAAGATATGGGGGCGCTGGATAACGCGTTGGCACGGATGTACCCGGTTTAAAGATATGGGGGCGCTGGATAACGCGTAGAACAAATTAATCGAAAAGGATGTTATCGATTTTAAATCAATAGAGGGACGCTGGATAAGCGCAGGAAAACAGAGTTAATGGAAAAAATTATATTTATCGATTTGGAATAAGTGCAGGGACGCTGGATAAGCGTAAATAAACAAATAATACTCGAAAAGGATGTTATCGATTTTAAATCAATACAGGGACGCTGGATAAGCGCAGGAAAAACAGAGTTAATCGAAAAAATTATATTTATCGATTTGGAATAAGTGCAGGGACGCTGGATAAGCGTAAATAAACAAATAATACTCGAAAAGGATGTTATCGATTTTTAAATCAATACAGGGACGCTGGATAAGCGCAGGAAAACAGAGTTAATCGACAAAATTATATTTATCGATTTGAAATAGAACCGAGACAAAATATGTAGAATCAATTATTCGGGGACAAATAAATGTTTGTCGAAAAATACTGTGGGGTTGGAAAGTGTGTTGCATTTTCAATCGGAATGGGCTGGAGGACTATCGATATATCGATAGAGACAGGATCTTTAGGACCAAGGGGGGCAGGGATTCAAAAGAGCGAACCGGGAATAGGTAACGGGCTTTGGTCAAGGGAATTAAGAGAAATGGTTTTTACCCTTGGCCTCGGCCGTTGCACCGAAAAAAGAACGGTTCCTAGGTCTGAACTCGGGTGACAGGCCGAAGCCTATATAGGGAGGGATAGGCAACATGGAAGCCGGCAGTAGCAACGAAAAGTCAATGCGAAAAGCAGCTAATCTCCTGGGCGGCTAGGAATTACCTGAAGAACGTGGGTGAAAGTGAAAAGATTCAAAAGCGTGGTATTAAATAAACGTTTAATTTCAGCGTGGCAGTGAATCAATCGCTGGCCACGGCGATTTTTATTGAAAATTGGTGAAATTATACGGAGAATCTTACCCGCCGCCGACGTTCTGGGGAGGATATATTCTGAAGAGGAGTGAGGGAAATTTTCAAACGAGCCTCTCAGCAGCCGTTGACGGAGCCAGCTATCGAGCCAAACGGGAATCCGGTGAGTCCGTTCCGTTAAGCGCCGTCCGGAACCGGCAGGTTTTTTCGTACCCATATTTGGGGACATCCATTGGCTCTGCCTCTTCTCCGAATCGACGTGGCCGTGGCTGCGTCCTACTGGCCCTACTTTCCTCGGGCTAGCCGTCGCCAACAGTCGTCACGATTTCTGGCCACTCAGGCCACCGAAGCCATTTGCGGGTCGCCAATAGTGCCTTCTAGTTGCTAAGATATAATTAATTAATTAGTGTTTGATGTATTTTTTTTTTTGTAAACTCACGTATCGCCGTAATTTGTCCTCTGCGTTGTTGTAGTCCCTGGGTCCGGGATTTGTGCAACACAAGGCTGCAATAGGGCCGATTCGGGGTGAAGAAGCTGGACCAAAATCGAAGTAGAACCCTCTCCCCTTTTATTTCTCTTGGAGCTCCAGTAGGGATATCAGGTTGGAAGTAGCAAATTCTTTTGGCCAGGTTGTGGCCTGTTGTGTGTTGGCGGAGCGCCGCTTCTCCTCCGCGATATCCGGAAACATTTGCTTGGCAGCCTTGGCGCGAGCGCATCCCTGGCTGAGGCCACGCTCTCGCCGGGAGCAAGTGAGGTGTTACCTGGGTTACAAATATGTACTCTGCCAATGTTAGCCTTAAATACCTTGAATTTATAAAGTATTAAACACGATGAACTTTGAGTAAAAAGTATTTACCTGGGGAGATGGGCCGGCCGTCGAGCCGCCTGGATTAGACTCCGGTCCGCCGGAGATGGGTGGTGCCCCTAGACACACCGGAGGCACCACAGGTTGGGCGGGAGCGTCGTGGCGACTCCATCTATGCCACCATTCCGCAAAAGTCGTCAATTTTTGGTTTGTTTACTTTTGTTTGTTAGAGATGTGTTATCTGTTAGTGAGGAGTTTTGTTGAGACGTCCGATTAATCGGTGTTTTGTTGTGCGGACTGCGGGCATAGGTTCCTACCCCCCTGGGCATCCACTGAGCTAGTCCGGCATTGCCCAGGGAATATGCAGTTCCGTAACAATATGGCGCCCAAGTTAAAAAAAAAATTTTCATCGGGATGAGGACGTCTTGTCCAGTCACGTCCTGGGCTATCCAGCCCCCACAAACGGTGGCTTGCGAGGCCTATATTACGGCCTGCAATTGCACCGGGGACATGGAGACTGGTGGTCCAGGCGGAGGCATTTTTTTTTGTTTATCGTTTTCTTTTGGTTTTTGTCTAGACGGGAGGCTTGGGCCGCAGGAGAGTGGACAATTGCTCCAAGTCACAGCTTGCAGCTGTTTTGCTGTGCAGAGGTGGTGGCATCCGGGCGTAGGACGCCGGATTTGCATCCCTCGGGCACAGACCCGTGCAGGAAGCACGCGATACAAGAAAAGCTGTGAGATAATTGATAGGGATACATGTTAATTTTTTTGTTTATTAACGTAAAGTCTGGTAATTTTTGTTTTGTTAACGTAATTTTGTGCGGATCCTTGGGTTTTCCTGGTGAGGGTGGCTTTTGGGATCGTCTTGGAGGTGGGTGTCGTGACCCGCAGGATACACTGCGCGTTGCACGACCACGCCACAGGGTGAACCTCAAGCCGCGTTCGCCAAGGAAAATCCTACGGGATGCTGCGAAGGCCGAAGTCCTTAACTGGCGACTTTCAGCACAGCTGAAAGTTAGTCCAGTTGACGAGCGGCCGGAGTAGAGACGACCGGAAGGAATGTAAGACGCAGGAAATCTGGCACGGAGTCCACCGGCGGTTGATCGGCTCCATCTCCCCTAAGAAGTAAGAAGGAAAGGAAAATTAGTTGACTGGTTATTTATTTATTTATTTTTGGTTATTTATTTATTTAGTTGTGGTTATTTATTTATTTATTTTTGGTTATTTATTTATTTATTTGTGTTTATATATTTATTTATTTGCTGTTTGTTATTTATTTACTTATCTTGCTTTATTTATTTATTTATATCGTTATATTTATTATTTATTTATTTATTTATTCAGTGTTAGGTGTTTGTTTAGAGATTTGGGTAGGTGGTGTTATAAATTTGTTAGGTGTTTCGCAGGTTAGGAGTTAATAAAAAAATGGCAGAGGAAAGGCAGGACAGATATGAGCTTAGATCGAAGGGTCCTTCAGCCCAGGAAGAAGAAATGTGGTCCACGGACGCGGAAGGTGCTGCTGGGTACGCGCCGCCGCGGTTTTCAACCGGGTTGGTGAGGACTCCACCGCGACGACGGGCAGAGGAGCAGCCAGGGGAACCGAAGCAGCTCAAGTCGCTGGAGTTTGAAGCTATCGGGGCAGCAGCTGACAAGCTGTTGGAGGCGGAATCCCCCCCGAAGGAGGTACGCTTCCAGAGTCCTCCGGTGGACTCAACGATCACGTCGGCGGTGAACCTCGCCCTAGCGCAGGCAGCGGAAACGTACCGCAAGTCCCAGGAGGCGGGAATCGGCCAAGGGTTGCGGGACGAGCTGCGGGCGGGCTTCCTGGAGATGATGAATCTGATGAATCAGGTGTTGAGACCGGTAGGTACTCACCAACAGGAGCCGCAGCGGACGCCAGCCCAGCAGCAACAGCAGCCTCTGCCAGAGGGACGGCAACAGCAGCCTCTGCCAGAGGGACGGCCACAGCAACCTTTTCCTATGGGACGACAGGCGGAGGGACCCCAGGGCGCTCGTGGAGCCATACCGCGGAGCCACCAGACGGTCAGTGGGCAAGCGGCAAGGACACCTCCGCGTGTTCCACCGAAGCCGCCCAGGAAAGCACCGTACCCGGACGAGACAGTCTGCAGCAGCCCAGGGTGGTCCACTGAAGTCGAGGAGATCCGTCGGGACGAGGGCGGACGTCGGAATTGGCGAGTGGAGGATCGCCGCGCGGGCGAGTTCCAAGATGAGCGGGCGTACGCCAACTGGGACGTAACAGGAAGCAGCGCACAGTACACCAGGGTGGAGCGCTCATCTCATTCAGCGGCGAGGACGAGAGGAACCATGTCGAGGGGTTCCTATTCCGGTTGGAGTACCTCCAACGCCAAACTCGATGTCCGTGGGCTGAAGTTCTGTGAAACTTCCACACGTTGCTATCGGGACGGGCGTTGGAGTGGTATTGGATCCACGTCCAGCAGCATAGACTGGACCATTGGAGCCAGTTGCGTCGAGCGCTGCTTGACAGGTTTCAGAGCCACGAGACGGAGCACCAGCGGATGCACCTGCTCTTGCAACTGGAGCAGCAGCCAGGAGAGGGCGTAGACGATTACCTGCACGCCATGCAGACCCTTGCTTCTCGCCTGAAAAAGCCAATGCCAGAGCGGCACTTGGTAAAGGTGATGAAGAAGGGTTTACGAGAGGGAATCGCGCGTTTTATCTACGCGATGGAGCTGCTCACCGTTGATGAGTTGCGGCAGGAGGCCGTCGAGGTCGAGCGCAGTTTTGGACGCAGGAGCCGCACACCACTCCTTCCAGCGACGCGCTATCCGATAGGAGAGCGAAACAGGGTCAGCGAGGTGGCTGGACCGGAACCAGACGAGGAGGAGCACCCGCCAGAGGTCGAGGAAGTCCGGGAGAGGCCACGAAATCCGATCCGCGCCGGATGCTGGAACTGCGGAGCGTTAGACCATGGATTCCGCGATTGCGAGCAGGAGCTGCGAAAAGTGTTCTGTTTCCGATGTGGAAAGGCCGATACTGTTGCCCCAAAATGTCCGAATTGCGCGGGAAACGGTCGGCTGGGCGATGCGAGAGCGGGAGGAACTCGCCCAGGACGGAAACCCGCGATGTAGGGGAGCCTGCAAGGAAGGATACAAATACTAATCACCATAATCAAAATATATTAAGGTACTTACCATATGAGGAGCGCATGCGAAGGTATTTGGAAGCTAGAAATAGAATTTTTAAACAACACCAGCTGTGCGGAATGCGCCAGGTATCCCGAACGGTTCGGAAGGCCAGAGAGCGGTTTCGAAAGCGTAGGGAAAAGCGAAGAGAAGTCGTCGCAGCAGTGCAGCGGGGCGGCATCTCCGATCCCAGGCCCTTCGCCGGGATAACCATTTTAGGCCAGCAGCTGACGGGTCTATTGGACACCGGTGCAAGTGTCAGTCTGCTCGGCAAAGGCGGCAGGGAACTGGTGGAGGCGTTGGGGGTGCCGGTCCAGAGATATTTCTCGGTAGTGCGTACGGCCGCAGGCGAGGATCGGTCGATCATCGGGCGATTAAAGCTACCTGTGGAGTACAAAGGGAGGGTAGAGAGTATTCTTTTCTATCTTTGCCCGTACCTAGAGCAGCCGGCATATCTCGGAGTCGACTTTTGGCGAGCGTTTGGCTTGGCTCCGGCCGTAGTGGGGGAAGTACCGACAAACAGCGTGATGAAGGCCGAAGAAATCCACGCCAGGGAAATGGAACACTACGCCGACCAAGAAGACGACGACGAAGAGAAGGTAGATCCCGAATCCTGGTCTCTATCCGAGGCGGAGTCCCGGAAGCCGGAGGAGATCAAGCTGATGTTTCTCACCTTTGAAAAGGATGGCTTAGGAACCACGAGCCTGGAGAAGCATTCCATAGAGCTGGCGCAAAGATTTTTAAGGATCGGCCCTATCCGATGTCTCCGGCGAAGCAGAAGGTGGTCGAGGACGAGGTCGACAAGATGCTGGCGCTGGGAGTCATCGAGGAGAGCAAGAGCCCGTGGAGTAACCGGACGACGGTGGTTTCAAAGCCTGGAAAGGACAGGTTCTGTTTGGATGCCAGGAAGCTGAACGAAGTGACCGTCAAGGATGCTTACCCCTTGCCTAGTATCGATGGAATCCTGTCCAGGATCGATCAGACGCACTACATTTCCAGCGTGGATTTAAAATTCGCGTTTTGGCAGATCGAACTGGACGAGAAGAGCAAGGAGTTGACAGCGTTTACGGTTCCTGGTCGGCCCCTGTACCAGTTCCGAGTGATGCCGTTCGGGCTCTGCAATGCGGCGCAGCGGCTGGTGAGACTCATGGACAGAGTAATCCCAGCAGAAATCCGGTCCAACGTGTTCGTCTACTTGGACGACCTGCTCATCCTGGCACCGGACATCGAGACGCACTTCCGGTACCTACGACGAGTCGCCGAATGCCTAAGAGAAGCAGGATTGACGATTGGGCTTAGCAAATCGAAATTTTGTTTCAAGTCGTTGACTTACCTAGGCTTCATCGTAGGTGGAGGTCGTCTGCGGATGGATCCAGGAAGGGTGGCTGCGATCCGTAGGATGCCAGAGCCGAGGACGATGAAGGAGGTGCGAGCATTTTTGGGCACGGCTGGCTGGTATCGGCGCTTCGTCAGGAACTTCGCAACGCTGGCAGCACCGCTCACCGAGGCGCTCAAGAAAACCGGGAACACTAAGTTTTCTCTGAGTCCGGAGGCGCAGCTGGCGGTCGAAGCCCTGAAGATGGCTCTAACGACAGCGCCGGTACTAGTCCACGCCGACTTCAAGCGGCACTTTTTTATCCAGTGCGACGCTTCTCACATCGGGGTTGGAGCGGTTCTGTTCCAGAAGGATGTGGACAACCAGGAGCAGCCGATAGCCTTCTTCTCGGCGAAGATGAACAAGCACCAGGTGAATTACACCGTCACCGAGAAAGAGTGCCTGGCAGCGCTCCTGGCGATCCGGAAGTTCCGTCCTTATGTGGAAGGGATGCCGTTCACCTGCATCACTGATCATGCCAGCCTAAAGTGGTTGATGTCCATGAAGGATCTCTCGGGACGCCTGGCCAGGTGGTCTCTGCAGCTCCAGGGATTCAACTTCAACATCGAGCACCGGAAGGGCAGCGAGAACGTGGTTGCAGACACGCTTTCGCGATGCGTGGAGGAGATCGCCGTCGATCCGACAGAGTTGCTGGGTTTCGAGACCACCGAGTTTGCTGGGGATGAGTACCAGGAGTTAGTCCGTGAAGTGGAGGAGAATGCGGATAACTTACCGGATCTTAGGATCGAAGACGGTCTCATCTTCAAGCGAGTCTCCCCGGCAACGCTGGATGATGAAGTGGAAGGATCCGCATGGAAACTTTGGGTACCACAGAGTCTGACCCACAGCCTGGTTGAGCGAGCCCATACGGATCCCAAGGCAGCTCACGGCGGAATGGGGAAGACTCTGGAGATCCTGCGGAGGCAGTTCTACTGGCCTGGGATGGTGTTGCAGATCCGCGAGTTCGTCCGAAGATGTGAGATTTGCAAGGAGTCGAAGGCCCCGAACCACCGGATGATGGTGGGGATCGGAGAGCGGGTACAGACGGAACGGCCTTTCCAGAAGCTGTACGTCGACTTCCTTGGCAAATATCCGATGTCGAAGAAGGGACACGCGTGGATTTTCATAGTGGTGGACCACTTCTCCAAATACACGTTCCTCAAGGCGATGAGAGATGCAACCGCTTCGAACGTAGTAGATTTCCTAATTACGGAGGTCTTCTACAAGTTTGGAGTCCCGGAGGTGGTGCACTCTGACAACGGTCGGCAGTTCACCTCGAAGATCTTCGAGGAGGCGATGAAGACCCCGATTTACTCCCCACAGAGCAACGCAGCGGAACGGGTCAACCGGAGTGTCCTGGCAGCGATTCGAGGGTTCCTGGAGAGTGACCATCGGGAGTGGGATGCGTACCTTCCGGAGATTGAGGTGGCCATCAGGAATGCCGTCCATTCAGCAACAGGTGAGGCGCCGTTCTTTACGGTGTTCGGGCATCATATGTTCCTGCATGGGTCCAGCTACCGACTGGCAAGGAAGCTGCAGTCGATGTGTGACCATGAAATGGCCGGAATGCCGACGGCTGACAAACTCCGGGTGGTACAGGAGAAGGTGCGCAAGAGTCTGGAGACCGCATATGACCACAGTCGCCAGCGATACGACCAGAGGGCCAGAGTCTTCACCGCGAAGCCGGGGCAAGTCTTTCGCTGGAACTTTGTCCTCAGCGACTTTGGGAAGCAATTTAATGCAAAGTTCGCCAAAAAGTTCCTGAAGGCCAGAGTGGTAAAGGCCGTAGGCAACAATGCGTACGAGCTGGAGGATCTGCAGGGCCGAAGTTTGGGCATCTATCACGCCAAGGACATCCGCATCTAACCTGGAAGGGAACAAAGAACACAAAGTATACAAGGACGGAAAGGAGCCTACAGACATCTGATACTTCCCGTAAGGCGTGGGCCCCGCGTTGGGCACCTGACGGAACTGCACGGGAACAATATTCAAATGCTCCCAATGATCCTGTCGAGCCGCCGTGATCCAGTAGCATCTCTCCAAATCCTTGGGTGGTGTTGCATTTTCAATCGGAATGGGCTGGAGGACTATCGATATATCGATAGAGACAGGATCTTTAGGACCAAGGGGGGCAGGGATTCAAAAGAGCGAACCGGGAATAGGTAACGGGCTTTGGTCAAGGGAATTAAGAGAAAGGGTTTTTACCCTTGGCCTCGGCCGTTGCACCGAAAAAAGAACGGTTCCTAGGTCTGAACTCGGGTGACAGGCCGAAGCCTATATAGGGAGGGATAGGCAACATGGAAGCCGGCAGTAGCAACGAAAAGTCAATGCGAAAAGCAGCTAATCTCCTGGGCGGCTAGGAATTACCTGAAGAACGTGGGTGAAAGTGAAAAGATTCAAAAGCGTGGTATTAAATAAACGTTTAATTTCAGCGTGGCAGTGAATCAATCGCTGGCCACGGCGATTTTTATTGAAAATTGGTGAAATTATACGGAGAATCTTACCCGCCGCCGACGTTCTGGAAAAGAGATATTTGTAGAAGAGGGATAAAAAAGGTTTCCAGCGAGCCTCAAAGCAGCCGTTGACGGAGCCACCTATCAAGCCAAACGGGAATCCGGTGAGTCCGTTCCGTGAAGCGCCGTCTGGAACCGGCAGGTTTTTTCGTACCCATATTTGGGGACATCCATTGGCTCTGCCTCTTCTCCGAAACGACGTGGCCGTGGCTACGTCCTACTGGCCCTACTTTCCTCGGGCTAGCCGTCGCCAACAGTCGTCACGATTTCTGGCCACTCAGGCCACCGAAGCCATTTGCGGGTCGCCAATAGTGCCTTCTAGTTGCTAAGATATAATTAATTAATTAGTGTTTGATGTATTTTTTTTTTGTAAACTCACGTATCGCCGTAATTTGTCCTCTGCGTTGTCGTAGTCCCTGGGTCCGGGATTTGTGCAACACAAGGCTGCAATAGGGCCGATTAGGGGTGAAGAAGCTGAACCAAAATCGAAGAAGAACCCTCTCCCCTTTTATTTCTCTTGGAGCTCCAGTAGGGATATCAGGTTGGAAGTAGCAAATTCTTTTGGCCAGGTTGTGGCCTGTTGTGTGTTGGCGGAGCGCCGCTTCTCCTCCGCGATATCCGGAAACATTTGCTTGGCAGCCTTGGCGCGAGCGCATCCCTGGCTGAGGCCACGCTCTCGCCGGGAGCAAGTGAGGTGTTACCTGGGTTACAAATATGTACTCTGCCAATGTTAGCCTTAAATACCTTGAATTTATAAAGTATTAAACACGATGAACTTTGAGTAAAAAGTATTTACCTGGGGAGATGGGCCGGCCGTCGAGCCGCCTGGATTAGACTCCGGTCCGCCGGAGATGGGTGGTGCCCCTAGACACACCGGAGGCACCACAGGTTGGGCGGGAGCGTCGTGGCGACTCCATCTATGCCACCATTCCGCAAAAGTCGTCAATTTTTGGTTTGTTTACTTTTGTTTGTTAGAGATGTGTTATCTGTTAGTGAGGAGTTTTGTTGAGACGTCCGATTAATCGGTGTTTTGTTGTGCGGACTGCGGGCATAGGTTCCTACCCCCCCTGGGCATCCACTGAGCTAGTCCGGCATTGCCCAGGGAATATGCAGTTCCGTAACAAGTGAAGACAAAAGGATAAATCGAAAATGTATGCTTATCGCCTTTTAAGATATGCTTGGACGCTGGATAATGCGTACCAAAAAAATAATCGGAACGGTGTACACAATTTGGAAAAATTAGGTTGTAAATTAGTCGAATTGAAACTCAAAAACCAATAATGCAAAAAAAATGCACCCAAGTGTGAACGGCTCATTAACAGACGCGTATGGTAATAGCGTCGCAACCTTGGCGGCCTGTACTTACATACATATGTATTTACGCAAAATAAACAAATAAACAACTATTAAAAACGCAGATTTTTTAATTTTGTTTGTTTCACTTGGTTTTGTGTTCGAATGCAGCGACACTGATACCCGCCGAGTCTCAATTGCCGGTCCGGCAAATTTGCATGAATATGTGCATATATGTATGTATTTATATGCACGTATGATCGGCCAGCTGGAGGAGGGGGTTAACTTTATTTATCTTTTGTTTTGTTGTTGTGGATGCAGTGGATGGAAAACATGTACATATGGATATTTGTGGTGGATGGAATATGATCTTTATTTATTTTTTCTCTTCTAAATGCCGCCGATTTGTGAACCAAAGGTGATCTACATATGTATGTTCATAAATCGGCAATGTTCGTACATACCTATGTGCGTATGCAAATTGTGTAAGTATATACGTACATATACTACGGAATCGGTGTGGTTTTTTATGTATGGAAAAAAAAAACTGGATGTAAACCTTTTCGGATATTGGCTGATTTAGAAAATAGGAAAGGGGCATATAGCCATGTAAACACATGCATATATATACATATACTACTGCCCAAGTTGGTAGTGTTTTAAATAAATTGGATGCAGCAGTATATCTACATATATATGCATGTATGTACATACATATATGATGGGAATTTCGGCACCGTACTTATCTTGGCAAAAAAGGCGCTGGAATATCTCGGGCGAAGGACCAAAAATGAAGCTGTCGGGGGCCGTGGCAAGTACAATTCCAGAAATTTCCCAATAAAAGATGGCAGAGTTCGATATGATGATGAGGAGGACAAAACGATCCGTCTTCTTTGGAATTTATTTTCAGAGTAATAAAAGAGAGGTACCACTAATATGGCGACAGGTACATTTTCCCCAGAGATGCTCCCCTGGCGATATTGCCCCTTGTTCAGCATGAACAGAGCCCATCGAGCTAATCGGCTACTGAGATCGGATTGAGTCATCAGCCATTTTAAAGAGGCATGGTCGGTTATTACCGTGAAAGGATGTGCCTCGATATACGCTCTGAATTTCTTAATGCTTAACATAGCTGCCAAACATTCTTTTTCTGTAACAGAGTAGTTACGCTGGCATTTGTTAAGCTTTCGAGATATGTATGAGATCGGCACGTCATCGCCTTCTTCATTTATCTGCATCAGTACACCGCCAGTACACCGATAGAAGCAAAATTACAAATGAATTTTTGGTACCACCATAGGGTGGTTAAGCCAGCTTTGGCTAAGCAAAATGATATTTCGCTATTTCGGACAAGTGTCGATTAAATGTATCTGATACAATCAATAGGTCATCCAAGTAAATAAATACTTCGTTTTTCAATGTAACGGGTATAATGCGATCCATCAATTTCGACATGGTCGATGGGGCATTGGTTAACCCAAACGGCATAACAGTAAACTGGTATAATGCTCTACCTGGTATAGTAAAAGCGGTTTTATCGCGAGAGCCTGGCTCGAGAGGAATTTGCCAATAGGCATCTTTTAAATCGAGACTAGTGATAACTTCGGCTTTTGGTAGTCTGCTTAAAATACCGTCAATTATTGGCATTGGGTATGCATCCTTACGAGTGACTGCATTCACTTTACGGCTGCCGATACACAGGCGGACTTTGCCTGGCTTGCAAACTAAAACGACTGGTGAGGACCAGGCACTTTCTGACTCCTCTATGACACCAAGGGCTAACGTACGATCTATCTCTTCAAACAGAAGTTTCTCAATCGCAGGTGACACCGGATAATGGCGTTGTTTAATTGGCTTCGCGTCGCCTACGTCAATGGAATGAGAGAGTATGTTAGTTCTGCCTAAACCTTTTTCCGTATAGGATGGGAAATTTTGAACGGTTTTTTGCAATTCAACTTGTTGTTCGCGGGAGATCGGTCTGAACAAGTCAGGGTCGATAGCTGCTAGGCTTTTTTCCGGAGTGGATTGAAGAAGACCTAACGGAAGTAACTGGAACTCTTTCCAAATATCGATGCCTAAATATAGCGACTGTACTAATAAAGGTAAGGTAAAAGATTAAATTTTTCTTATCACCTTTATATTCAACGTCTGCACTAATCTTGCCAGTTATATTTTGAGTTTGTCCATCCGCAGTTCGGACTGAATTAGTCATGGGCTTATATTTTACCTGTTCTTGCAATAACTATTTAGCCAAAGCACCTCCGATACAACTGATAGAAGCACCGGTGTCCATTAAGCCAGAAATTGAGCGACCTAGGACTTTTACATTCGCATATGGACGACTATCGGCAGAAATTATCGCTGACAGTAAACACTTTTGTTCCTTTTGCAAGTTTCGATAATAAGTTTTTATGCGTCTTTGAGAACGCCTTCTTCTCTTAGCATATCTTTCAGATACCGCAGAAAGGGTAATCGCCGGGTCAATAGAACATTCAGGGTTGTTGGTCAAATCTGGTGAGGGTTGGTAAGAAGCTTCGGATTCTTCTATTCGGTGTTGGTTGCTTTGGAAACAGTCGGTTTGCGTGCACTTCTCAGTTGTGCACGAGCTTGACAGTTTTTTGTACCAGTACACTTAGGACAAGAGGGTCGATATGTGTCTGGTTTTCCACAACCGTAGCAGAAGACTTTTCGCTCATCGTAGCAATCATGATATAAATGACCACTTTTACCACAATTCCAACACGAAGTTGTTATTGCGGACAGCTCAACATCTTCTGGCTCGCTTTCAACTTCGGATTCGGTTTTGATCTCGTGTATCATACGACGAGGAGCAGGAAGAGGTTTTCGCACGGCAGGATTGACAGAGTGCATAAAAGCTTCTCGCATTCGTACCACGCGCCTTAACTGGGCTACACTACTAAAATTGTGGTATAGCAATTGAGTTGGATTTCAGGCAATAAATTTGATCGAACGCACTCTAACAAGGTCAACTCAGCCATCGGCACGGACAACTTAGCGGTTAATTTAACAATGCTTTCATAAAACTCATCAAAAGATTCTCCTGTCTTCTGTTTGCGACGATCAATGGATGCTCTGATACTCACATCAGTTCGTTCTTCCCTAAACTGCTCTCTTAAAGCTTCAGATAAACTGGTCCAAGTTTCTTCTTGAACACTTTCTTGGTACCGCCAGTACCATTCACTAGCCGGTCCTTCTAGCAACGTGCTAATATGACACGTCAAAAGCTCAAGGTTTCCGTCTAGAGTTTTCCGCGTAAGCGTTTCTACTCGATGTAGGAAACCATCTATACTCATAGCTGATTTTCCTGAAAACTTTAGGTTCCAGTGACTTATAATTTGACCTATACGATCTGGTCTTAAGTCTGAAGTTCTGGAAGACAAACCCGAGGGTACGGAGTTTACCGAAGTCACAAGGTTACTTCCCCTTGCGTTTGCGGCCGGAACGCTTCCGGTTCGAGAATCTTCTCTTTGCGTAAGTGCTTTTTGAAGATTTTGAAAACCCACATTCATGGCTCGAGTTATAAGCTCTGTTTGTCTTATAGCTGCTGCACTCATAGCCTCAACTACTGATTGTTGTAATTCATTCAAAACAGGAGACGGACTTTGTTCTTCCCCAATTGCCTGATTTTCGCGACCTGGTTCGTTTCCTATCTCTGCACTTATAGTTTCTGGAGGGGCATTCACTTCCTTAGGATGACTTCAAAGTCGGACTGGCATATTGTCTGATGGTAAACTCTGAGAGGATTGATTTAGGTCGGTATTAACAGTTAGGGTCATACGCGATCTTTCTAACTTCGATCTGCACACTGGGCAAGAATCTCGATTTCCAACTTTAGTGTTGAAACAGGCCCAATGGAACGTGTGGTTACAATTGGTGGATAGATAGCATTGAATATCTCTTGGAAGTTGTTCCTCCATATTAACTTGTTATGAATGCATAATATCCACTCGTATATAAAGTGAATACCAAAGGTTACCGTATTAATTAATAATGTTTATCTTTAAATATATTTGATCTTAACACAATAGAAAATAATAAAAAATCTAATTTAATCAATATTCAGGAATCATGGACTTCTTCCATGGGCAAGACTATTTACACTTCCATACTACTTTATTCAGACTATCATAGAAAACATTGACCCCGAACCTACATTGATGACGCAATCCCCCAAATCCTTTACATCCTTGGTAAAATAATCTTTAATCCGAAAAGACGTTTTGGTTGAAAGATCTACTAATTGTCATCTTATGTATCATTATATTCAGGTTCAAGTGAATAATAGACATATTTTTATACATGTCAGTTGTCCTAACGAAGCGGTATATATTCTTTTACGATTCGCTCATCTGCTATCCCCGATATACAAATATTTACAATAGGTAGGAGCATATAGCTAGTCAATCCGAATATAAAATTCCTGCTAGTTAAGACAACAAATAGCATTAAGGGAAAATAGAAAGGGGTTGATGGAGAAAGGGAAAGGGAACGAAAAGGAAAATTTAAGGAACAAATGCTTCAATAAAGCAAAGGACCATAAATACTTGCATTCCAGTATACTTCGAGCTCAGGATATTGGTATACTAACGGTAAGGTACCGATTAAATTCGGAGCCGAAATCCAGTCGAGTTAACCTTTATCCTTTGTCGGCTATTACACTTCTAATCCTGCGAGCGGAGTTAAATCCTTGTTTCTTAGATTTATCTTTCCTGCAACCAAAACTTTTAGTGAAATACCGTTTTCAGAACTGGTACTAACGCCATGTAGAATTTCCTAATTCTTTTCTCTGAAGTC